GTTCAAATCAGTGAGCCCCAACTACTTGATCCCATTTCTAACAAACCTTGCTATGCATCTGCATATGAGTACTAATACTTTACCAAGTACCACGTTAGCACTTGCTCTTCTAAGCATCCCTTAGAGAGCATTTAACCTAATCCAACTCCCAAATTGTTCTATTAGCTTGTAATCATTGTTTGAAAAAGCAATTTCCTTGAAAATACAAGTTCCAATGCATTAAATAATATGTTAATTACTAGGCACAAATAACATGTTACGGTCACGTGTGTTAATTGAACATGTCAGAATCAATCCGATGTAATGTTGGCTCCTAAGCCTTTCACTGCTCACACGCTGTCTGTACTCACCTGTTGATACTTTCTTGGTTTGTACAGGTAACAATTTTTTTAACCAGACAGACCAGAAGTGCTCAGAGGCCTACCACTGCACAAGCAAGCAGTGCATAAAGTGAGCACATCAGATTTAGGAGCTTCACTTAGTCAGAAACCTAGTCCTTTTCCTCCCGAAGGCAAGCTCTATCCATCTCTGTCCAAAGCACTGTTTTAACTGAATTTTGCAGGAGGATATACAGCTTCTTTTAATGACCTGAAACCCCATCACGTACAAGTGCTAGTTCATTGCAACTTCTGTTAATGGATTAAAGCATTTAAAACAAATTAAATCATTAGTACACTGAGTTTTGTGATGTAAACAGTTTAATGAATACATAAAGCACATATAAAGCAAAAGATTAAAACATAATTATTGTTACAACCACCATATACTCTATAAAAAAAACTTTTACAAGCATATTGCTTGCACAGCAGGTTTTACAAAACAGTGTATCACGAGCAGTACCACTCCCTGAAAACTAAGACTTGGAAATAAAAATCACAGTATTTACTTACATCACATCTTACACTAGTCAGACTAGCATTGATTTAACTACTTTTCAAGTTCTTCATGGTGCTGAAGTATACATTAAAGCTTGCACAGGAAATGTGAATAGAGTTCAAGTGCAAAAAAAAGACTGATTGATTTATCCCTCCATGGCAATATTTAAAACTGTGGTTCCTAAACTTTTTGCCTGTGAATGTTGATCACAACCATTTTTCAGATTCCCATTTAAGCAACTCCTTAACTCAGGAATGGATTTGGAACTGCTGTTTCAGGAACACTGATCCCAAACCCTGGTTCTGGTCAAGTTGAGAAGAACTTCAGCCCAGTGCTGCTCATAGCTTGTATCTGTCTATAGGATGGGTTAGCCTCATCTCCACCGTGCATATTCCTTGCACCCAAACACATAAATATTTGAAAAAAATAGAGGAACAAGGCTTCATACAGGCAACAGGAGAATGTTACAAGATTGCATACAAAACTGAAGCA